AAAATATGACTATCGATAGATGAAATGTAAGTTTCTTATGTCGATGAATAAATGATTTTTTTTTCGACCTAAGATATGGACGGTAGTTAAAAGTAGAAGCTAATTGTTATATATATATATATATAACAATATGATTTGTATCCAATTATAATATAATTTTCATATATATTCTCTTTAATTAAAATTTTATTATTCTTGCATCTTTTGCTGCACCTACCATAAACTCGCACCACATCCTGGGTTGACTGGTAGAGAATGCCTTTGAGCATTAAGTCCGCCCTTTGTTACCTTGTTTTACTGAAGGTTAGCAATAAAGATTAAATAAATTAATTAATAAATAAATATAATTTAAAAGTGAAAAATTCTGTAAAAAAACAGATTGTATAAATTATGGAAATTTAGATGTGGCCTTAACGTTAGAAAAAGTGTTTTATGCGTAGAATATTTTTTTTTATTTTTTTTATTACAGTATTTATTTTGTGATTGATTTAGAGTATTTATTTTTTTATTTATAATGTATATGCAAATACTATAACACACCTAATGGTTTAAATCACGTCGCTGTTGATTCAGAATTTCGGCCTAAAGAATTATTTTTTCTTTTTTTTTTAAACATAGCGTTTACCTTGGGGTGATGAAAATTATGTTGTGTTGTAAGGACATTTTACAAACATAAATTTCACGTGGACAAACACCCAGATGCGAAACAACTACCTATCGGTCACACAAATAGTTATCCCGTGTGGGGTTCGAACCCACGACTCCTTCCCCGTAGCCAATGCCTTGGCAACTGCGTCATGGAGTCGTCAAATTAAACAATCAGCTAGGCATTCAGTTGATATGCATATTTAATGAAGCTATTCTATCGGACTATTTATTGGTTGTATGTTTCATTTATAAACCGTTTCTTGTCCACCGCTCTTTTAGCCATTTTAAGTGCTTAACCAAATACGTGTGTATCCTGTGATACAAAATACAGGTGGGGTAAATGACGCGTGCGCCGACGCGTGTACTTCATACCGAGCGACCTGCTCAGCCAACACTCAGCAGATAAGGGCACGCACAAACTTAATCGGTTAGTGATGATATTATTTTTTTTTAATGTGTAAAGTTGCCAAGCGAGCAGACGGTTCACCTGATGTTAAGTGAATGCCGCCGGCCATGGACATCTGCTAAACCCGAGGGATCCAGATGCGTTGACAAACTTTTGAAAATTGGGCACCGGCCACCTCGCTCACCAGACGAAACGCGAAAGTATTATACTTCCACTTTACGCCGGTCTTCTGTGGGGTCGTGGTACTTACCCGGACGAGCCTGCCCATTCGTGCAACAGCCGAGCCTGCTGCGTGGCCCTACCACCGTGAAATTATTAATAAATATTGATGAAACATACATTTGGAGAAACGTAAAATGTGCCCTAATATCATCAGAAATCAGAAAGATCTCACAGTGGGACAAAATTATTTTGCCCAGCAGAACAGATATGCATCAGCTATATATTTCTTATTGATTTGAACTATTTTTTTTATTTAAAAGACAATAAATTTAAAATTCATCATTTACAGAAAAATTAAGTCATTTTGACAGTAATAGAGAAAGCCCTTACAGAGGGAAAGTCCTCGAAAGCAGTAATATTGGGTATCGAAATGTATTCATAAAAAAAGGTCATGGATAAAGAAGTTTATGAAAATCAAGTAGATTTTAAATAAAGAAACGTGTCAAAATTTCGTTCTTAAATTCGTTTCTAAGATCCATGTTAGTTATGCACAGAATTTATTAATTTCATGTAAGTACATAATATTTGTCTATTATGTATATCTGATTATATGTTTATGATTTAAATTCCTGTACTGACATAGTTCTTAATCGAAAAGCTTCTATACTGTCATGTCGAACTCTAATCGATTATTTACATGTTATATATTCTATATGATTTGTAATCGGTTTATTCTCATAATGTTTGTGTGTATGGAATCTACAAAATTACGTTATTTTCTATCGCCGTACTTAAAAACAAAATGATTTTTGTTAACTGGCCAAATTTACATTATTGAGATTTGTTTAAAAAACGATTAACAAACGAATAAACAGCAATCAGGCTCATGATGTATGTCTATAATTATGGAATCTTCAAAATGGCGTTATTATCTTTCGACGTATTTAACCAAATAGCCAACTAGCCAAATTTCCATTGTCGATATTTGTGAAAAAGAACAATTACAGCAATCAGTTTTCGTCCCCCCTAAAAGGCGTCTTACTTGAAATACTAAATGATTTATTGGCATTTTATGATATCAACGCAATCAATATTAATCTCGCGCAATCCATCGGCGTACTCTTATGGCCGCGGATACGGAAAGTCTAGTTTTTGCACGGCGCATTGCATAGTTTCCGACTATTTCTAACATGTCCCTTCTACGGCGAATCTATTACGGATTCTTAATTAAATAAAGTTTATGTTTCTATGACACTGTGGTCGCTTTTTCGTTGCAAAATTCTTAGAATTAAATGATGAATTAATGGAATTAATACCACACGCTGTAGGTCTTTAATATCTTATATAAATATCCATCGATTTATTGCCAACTGAAGAGACTAACATTATTTGAATTGAATAATACAAATGGTGGCACCAAACAGCTATGCGTACTATTCAGTGCTGCCAATATTATTCACATACGTCATCAAACGCAAAGAAAATGTAAAACAATCACTAAACCGCTTCAAACTTCCACCGGAATCCAATTAAAAATCATCAGCAATATTTCACCGTCCTAACTTCCTACACCACAAACAACGAATTTAATTAAAAGGAAACCGCTTTCGGAGTTTAATTGGTCGAATGACAGGCAATATGCATAATTTCAACCGACTCCCACAATTATCTTGCAAGGCATCTTCCTTATTCATTTGCAATTTAAGTGACGCTCGTGAAATGCTAAATTGATTTAAGGACCCTCGCTAAAATCTCATTAGCATGGTCGTAGTTCCGTAAACAAAGGTTACATCATAATTCTATTGATTTCTAGCCGTGGTTATGAGCGAGCGCTAATGGCCCACTTTAATCTCTGATCAGCCAAAGCTTCGGGAGATTAGGAGACATCCTGGCCAAATGACTGGACAATGATTCAACCTTAACTAAATAAATGCGTTGACAAGAACTTGTGTTCTCAATGGGACGCATCGGTATTCTCTCAAGTCCAAGGGAAGTCGAAGTCGCTGTGATTCTCGCTTTGCCTCCAAGTGAATCCAGATTTACACATCATCTTACCAAATAAGTGAGTCCAGTGCGCGTGAAATCTAAAGTTTACACTTGGATAAAAAGGGTAAACATTGTTATATCTGCCGTGATAGCTCAGTGTCCGGGCACTCGCCTTTAATTCAATATACTCGAGCAACCTGAGTTCGATCCCCGGTGCCGGCACCAATGAAGTTTTTAACTTTAAGTGCCGACTTATCACGTGCTCCACGCTGAAGAAAAACATCGTGAGGAAACCTGCATATTTTCGAAATAATAACAAAAAAAATTTTTTTTCGAAGATATGTGAAGTCACCCAATCCGCAGTGGGGCTGCGTGGTGGACTACGCCCTGATACCCTCTGTATAGAGGAGGTCTTTGGCCAGCAGTGGGACATGTATAGGCTGTTATTTTACTTTACTTTTTTTTGTTATATCTGAAAGAGACGTTTATTGTAAAGACGAAAATCAATCATCAATCGCAAAGAACAGAAGGTGAAGCAAAAATAATAATTACAAAATATTGGATGTAGCTATCCAATATTTTGTAATTGTATAGTGGAGATTTCAACAAGGTATTGGATTACAAGATTACAAGCCTTCATGCATTGTACCATTTTTTTCTATAAGAAAAGCATATAGTGTAGTAATAAAATCGTTATCTACATCAACGCTTCGACCGTGCAGAAGTTTAGGAGGCCATAATAAGAAATACCTAACGATTTCCCGTTTATCCAGAAATGGTGAGGATAAAATTTTCTTGAGAACAATATAACGGAATCACGATAAATAGAGCTGTTGACTCTAACCTCGGAACATTTTAAAATGGATATTCAAACGGTTCTGACATGGAGCACGAAGCAAACGCATGTGTCTTTTACTTTTAATTTAATTGTTTTATTTAATAATAAATATATTTATGAGTGTATAATGCCGTGATAACTCTTTGTTCGGGCGCTTGCTTATTTTTTTTTTTTTAAATATTGCCCTTACTTTAGGATAACATTATCCCGTGTTGTAAGAACATTTTACAAACATAAATTTCACGCGGACAAACACCCAGATGCGAAACAACTATCTGTGTGCCACACAAATAGTTGTCCCGTGTGGGAATCGAACCCACGACCCCCAACGCCGAAGCCAATACCTTGGCAACTACGCCACGGAGTCATCTTTCGCTTATCTACGCTTTAATTTAGTATTGTCGAGCAACGTCTCAATTTAAATCTCCGGTGGTGAACCAAATGGTTAATTTGAAGTGCTGAAAGGATTCTAGCCTACGGTCCAGATACAGAGCTAATTTTTTTTTTTTTCGTAAAACAATGTATTAAGCTCGTACTCATGATTTATCTTGAGTGCAAAAAAGTTTTCTTTTTATGTTAGAAAGTGTTAAACGAGCTTGTGGTTCACCTGATGTTAAATAAAGTGAGCCCCGGCTACCTCATTCACCAGACGAAAGGCAGATGTGTAACACTTCTACTTTACGCCGGTCTTCTGTGAGGTCGTGGTACTTCCCCGGACCTGCCCATTCATGCAACAGCAAAGACTGTTGCGTGGCCCTACCACTATAAAACTTACAAAAAAAATAACGATTAACATCTGATCGCTCTTGCCGCGCACAAAAGTACAGAAAAATATACCCATCAACATCTGGTCGCTCTTGCCGCGCACAAAAGTATTGAAAAAAAATAACCATTAACATCTCGTCGCCCATGCCGCGCACAAAAGTACTGAAAAAAATAACCATTAACATCTCGTCGCAGGCTGTCGCCCTTGCCGCCTTTAGGTTTCGTAGTTCCGCGGCCCGCCGTGAGAACCAGCCCGCTCGTGAAGCGACCCATCCCGGTTTGGACGATATCGCACCAATCGGCCGATATCGCGCGTCGCGCTTATGATCCGTCGCCCGGTCCCCTGCGCTGATTTATTCGCCCCACCGCCGCCGAGCGTCACGAAGCGCCGTGATCGTTTGCACGACCCCTGAACGGTCTGTTCTCGTCTCTTTATCCAGTTTAAATTGTTTCCGCGCCGTCTGTATCAATTGTTTCGCGCTTTAATTGTTTCAGCGCCGTCTGTATTTACGGGATGCTTAATTGTTTGAACGCCGCGTCACCAACAGTTCGGCCGATGTTTTGTCAACTTTTATAACTATAATGAATTGAAAGTTGTTTTTTTTTTTTATAAAAACATTACCCTCGCTTTAGGATAACATTTATCCTGTGTTTTAAGGACGTTTTACAAACATTAATTTCACGCGAAGAAATACCCAGATGCGAAACAATTATCTCTGGGTCACATAAATAATTGTCCCGTGTGGGAATCGAACCCACGACCCCAGACGCCGAAGCCAATACTTTGGTAACTGCGCCACGGAGTTTAATTGAACGAGGTGCTTTCGTTGGGGGTGTGCCTTTTAAGCCTGGATCTAGATTTAAGTTCTTAATGTTGTAAACGGAAATTGATATCCCAGACCTTATTGGACCTCTCTTAAGACCGGGATAGCAAATGAGTGGTAAGCTCGTTACATTCACGCCACTCATGATTGTGATATAAAAGAAATATATGTTTTTTAACTAACAGCAATATTCTTATAAACTAAGTTACACATTAAACTTTCTACGTCCATCGGGGCTACGATCCGCATCGAACCCCGATGACCCATAGACAATAATCATATAGGCCAACCTCCCTCAGAAGGACCTATGAACACATAAGCTACCTGACGAAGAGGGTCGTATCAAACTCGTAAAATCTGCTTGCGCCACGAGAGCTACCTACTTTATTTAGTCTACGCACAGAAATCAAGAACAACATTCAATAAAGATAAAGAGTTTAGAATGGCTGGCAAGTCTTTATAAGGTTTATCGAAATATTATGCTATTTGAAATAGAAAATTGAAATGATGATATGATATAATTGAAAAATGACCTGATATATTTTAATTTCCGGAAAGTGTCAACTGGGCCGACCACTCAGTATGGTGGCCTCCGCATAATTCTTCTCTCTGGAATTTGTCCTCATTTGAAGAAGATAAAAAATTAGTTATGCGTGTAATCTTGTCGCACGTAAACGCGGGTTTAAAAATTGCGAACCATCAACCCGTACACGCAATAGGTTATTGTACCGCTTCCACGCCCAAGTGCGGAATAAATTTAGGGCGGGAATGTGAGATTCTTCGATTTCCGAAAGTTCCCTTAACAGGTGGACGGAGGTGATTATTTCGACCGTGCGTTAATGTCCGCGTTAAATTTTACGACGGCTGTCAACGTTTATGACACATAATTCGGTTGGGCATAACGCGAAGTATTGGTAGCGATGCGGGTAACACGCGCTTTGGACGCTGCACCGGCGCCGGCGACAAGCGGAAGCGGTTCTTACTTTAAAGCGATTTCTGCATGAATCAACAAGGCAAATTTCAATTGCGATCCACGCCGATGTTCGAACCTGCTAGTCGAGTGACCATCTCCTGTTAACAGATACGGCGTTGGGAAGTGCTAACAGCAAACGACACAGTCGCAAAAAATTAATGATCAAGAAGTATTCAACGCTTAGACTATCATCATCATCATCATCATATCAGCCGTAGGACGTCCACTGCTGAACATAGGCCTCCCCCATTGACTTCCACTTCGACCGGTCGTTAGCGGATATGATCATACGGAAAGATGTGGGGTAGTAATAAAGCACCAGCATCTTAGCAACGAGAAACTGAACAATGTAGAAACCGGCCAACCTTAGTCGGACTCGCCCACGAAGGGTTCTGTACCATTATCTATAAAAATGGAAAAAAATCATGTCCGTTGTATGGAAACCCCAATTAAATATTTTTATTGCATTTTTTACTATTTCTTGTAATAGTGGCAACAGAAATACACTATCTGTGAAAATTTCAACTTTCTAACTAACACGGCTCCTGAGATGCACACTGGTGACAGAAGGCCTGCCGTTCAGACAGACAGACAGCGGAGTCTTAGTAATACGGTCCCGTTTTATCCTTTGGGTACGGAACCCTTTAACGAAATTATCCGTGGACGGTAAGCTAAACGGATCGATACGGGAAAGGCATCCTTTGATTCCCTCGACTTCCGCGTCCGCTTACATTTTGGCCGCCGTAACCTAAAATATAAAATTTTATGTGTTGCACCGACATCGAGTGGACCATTTCAGCATGAGTAACTGTTATAGCTTAATTTCAACATAATCGTATCGAACCGCGATCTTTCTGGCGATCGCGATGACATTAGCGTGGGGCTATTTCGCGATGTTTATGTAATAAGCGGGGAAGCCGGTGCGTAAACAAATTTTGGAACATTAATCGTACACGCAGAACACGTCTTTGCTTTCAAACCGTGTTTTTTTTTTTTTGGTTTCTGGCAATTCTTAAAGATGCTGTCGATAATGGCCACCGTCAGAGTATTACAGCACATGGTGATAAAAACGATATCCAACGTAAACGTATTAAAATACATATTTGCCACTCCCGGAGGAAAATAGCGAGGGATTCAGGGTAAAATAGAATTCGCGTTACCACCAGTCTTCACATATCTTCGTAATATATATGTTTTTATTATTATTGAAAAATAAAGTATGCAGATTTCCTCACAATAATATCTGATTCACCGCTGAGCACGTGATAAGTCAGCACATAAATCTGCAACTTTAAGACTTTCGTTCTTAACTAATACGAACAAAAACACACTTTCTTGTTCCATCTCATAACACAACAACAAAATCTTCTTCACACATAACACAAGCATGGCAGGTAAAATAAGTAATTTGTATTTGTTTTAAAATAATTTTATTCCTTGTGTAACGATTCTTACTTTTAGTCAAATGTTCTTGTTTTTTCTAATTTATTGTATCCAATATTAATTATTTACGACTATTACGTATGGCCATCTATCTCTTTCCCCCAAGGTTCCACTGAAAACCAGCATTCACGAAGATTGTCAACTTCGTGATATGAAGCTGAGTGGTGACCATTTTGGTTCATTCTAATCATAGGTATATTTAGTTTTTAGCATATGTTTTATTTTTTTGTGTTATTATGTGCCAAATAAATGTTTCTTTCCTTCTTTCTTTTTTTTAACTAACAATTTTGTTGGTGCCTGCAACGGGATAATTATGAACTCAAGTAGCACGAGTAGGTAGCTAAAAATGAACGCCCGGACACTGCACTATGAAGGCGCCATCTGCGACATTCATGGCTTCGAAAGTACAGTGAAACCTGGTTAATTAAGACATCAAGGGACCTGCAAGTTTGAAGAGCACTTATGGCTTACCCAGTATCTTAGATATCCAGGTACAAATAAATATCTGTCTCGTTTACAGAGGGTGCCGTTAATAGAGCTTTACCGTTTCTTTTTTAAACTCTTCCAACCAAATGGTTGGTTGAAGAAATTAGTTGGAAGGTAGTTGGAATAGTTTAAAAAGAAACGGCTGCTACAAAAATATGGATACCGAGCCTTCGTGCAAAATCTTGTACCTTTTCATTGATGGCTTGACCCATTTTTGCAAACACTGTTTAAGTTCAAGATATTCTGATAAACGTACACGTTTTAGTTTTCCTTGTCCTTCAGAACCTTCGTTTCGGTATTTTTCAAATAAATATTCGCATGATAGTAGAGCAAAACTAAAACTGAAGACCATTTATGTGCGGAATTGGCGGTTAGAATAAGAATAAGTAAGTAAACAAACAAAACAATGTTATGTCAGTTACAGAGGTTAATGAATATAAAATTCATCTCCATGTCTCTGTTAAATATAGACGTAACAACTATGACGATAAAATCGAAAGAACGAATCCGAGAGATATAGAGATTTTCTTCGTCCCAATAAAGAGGTGCCAAAGTGTTGGGACCTCAGCATGAGTTCCAGTTATGGAGATCATGCTGGTGGTCACTTATCCAGGTCCCACTTAACCAAGTTTCACTGTAATAAAATTACAGGGAATTCGGATAAACACGACTTAGTTCCTCTTACTATGCAAATATTAAAAAACTTGGCGCATTTAATCATGTCTTACACATTTTGGTTATCATGACTCCTTTAATCGTGTATTTCGTTCATAATGACTTTGTTTAAGTCCATTCCTAAATACAGCAAATGAAAATGTGTAAATTCATCAAAATGATACGATGCATGAGTATCATGTATATGGTATACCATTGAAAGTATAACAAGTACTCTATGTACTATATAATAATAATATTTTACACTGCTAATTATAAAATCCTAATTATAACTTCAAACCACCATAACGCTTCAAATTTTTTTTTTTCGTGCAAATTTCTCTCTAACGTAAACTTTCTTCACCGTATGTAGTTTCACACCTTTATACATGTTAGTAAGTTATTTCCAACTAAAATTATAAATCAAAAAAAAGAAAAGTAATAAATAAAATAAAAAAAACTTATGCACCAGCATTGTGTCCTAATGAAGCCGTATTCATTCTGAATACGCTAAGCCGTTTCTGCTCCATCACTGCTTTTAACAGTTTTAATTAGTGCATTGTACTCTCTTTGTAGTTTGGTCCCAATTTTATGTGTAGCATTTTGTAAGTGTCAAAAGAAAAGTTCATTCACCTAACGGTTAACACAGGTGAACAAATAAAAGTCGATTCTGCGTTTGGAATTCTATCATCTAATCTGTTTAGTAATATTGCCCGCTATATTAATATACCTGGCAATATTCCGCTATATTAATGAATTCATAAAAAATCATATTTCTGTCATATTTATTATTATCGCAAAAAAAATGCGATGATTATTTCTGCAGTAATGATCAATATTATTTTAGTGGCAGTCTCTGCACCCAGAATTAAACTTTAAACACGAATGTTAGACAGAAAGTTTTAGCCCATTTATCTACAAAAATTCACGTTTTATACTACAGTCACATATATTGAGTAATTGGCAAGG